GCATATACTCATTAGCGAGAGGAAGAGGGAGGAAGCACCCACTATAGGGACTGGTCATGCTGAAATTCTTTCTCTTTCATTTCATCACTCTGCTTAGATTCGAGGCGCAGACACATAGATGCCTACCATGTTTTTTAAGCTGCTAGGACCAGTACTCCAACTTCAGTCAGTCATGTGGGATGCAGTTCTCTTTGACCAACAGGCCACAAGGTGGATCTAAATGACTTTAAAATTTTTTTCACTCTCTTATTATTATTATTATTATTTAGAGTCAGAATCTCACTATGTAGCACAGGTTAGCCTTGAACTTATTGCCTCAGCCTCTTGAGTAACTGGAATTACAGGTATAAGCCATTGTGTCCAATAATGCTTTTTGATACATTAAAAAAAAAAAGCCATTTAGGCTAGTCACCTTGTGTTCAGACCAAGCAGAAGTGCTGTTGTCAGAGATATGCTCTATGCCCCCAAATAAACTAGTTATTTTGTTGTGTGGCTGATATTGTCATGTTATGCAGCCAGAGGATTAACTGCTAAATCTAAATCGTTAAGTGGGGATTTCTGGAGTGTAAAAAAGGAAAACAAATATTTAAATAACACAGATAGGTGTAGTACTTTAAAGTTTACGGGCAATTTCCTCAACATCCTATCAGGTAAACAGGAAGAAATTGTCATTAGGTAAATTTAGTATCTAAGGCATAAAGTATTTAGATAAATTTCCAAGTCTGTACAAAGAGTCAGGATTATAATAGCTTTTAGATTTTGAAGACAAAGGCATTCTCTAAATCCCAGTCTCTGATGAGTCACATTGGTTAAGGAGAAACCTCACTCGAGAGATCTTTACTCTCTGCTCTATTTCTGTAAATATCTTTGCTTAGCTTACTTTTATGCCAACATTATACACAGATCCTTAAACTGAACAGAATTGGTGTAAATGTTCAGCTTATTCCATAAAAAAAGCAATGACATTGGTTCAGTCGTGTGAGATAAGGTGTTTTGGAAATACCTCTGTTTAATAAATAGAATAAAATTATTTAGAGAAATTGAATGTGTATTACATGCATATGTATATGTACATATATACACATACATTCACTTGAACAAACACACACACATATTTGAAAGGGAGAGGGAGTGAGAGAGGTTGTTTGTATGGTAATGACTGTTGAAGTCATTCATGTAGTAGAAATAGCTTTTTTTTTTTTTAATTTTTACTATAGGGCATGTGTACTCACTACAAAGAAAGGGAGAGAGAGCAAGAGAGAGGAGGGAAATGAGAAAGTGAGAAATCACTCCTAGAGGAACCAGCTACACCACAATCTCTTCTCTTCTTGCCTCAGGATTTGGGGCACACATGCACACATGCTCTATGTGATTATCCGAACTTCTGGGTCTGGGACTTGAAACGTGAAATTAGTCATTTGGGATCCAGCTACTGTAAGAATAAAATTAGATTAGCCTGTCTTACAAAGATAAAGTCTAACCTTTGCCTCTTTTGTTTCTGTACTAAAGCAGATGCTGCTGAAGTTGTGGAAACCTGGGGTAATTTGTTAACACCTTGCAGGGAGCCCTGAGCAGTTTGCAAGCTAGTCTGGCAAGCTAGCCCGGACCTCTGTAATGTAAAATTCCTCCCTTCTGCTAGCCCTGGAAACCCACATCAAATGCTCCTGCAAGCCTGACCAAATGGTCGCCATAAGATTACCCTTGAAACCCCTTATCTTGCTTCCTCCCCTCACCCCATGGACTCATGTCTATATAACCTGAATACTCCTATGTTCGGGACTTCACTCTTAGCCATGTCTTGTATGACTGAGAGTGGAGTCCTAGCGCGCTAGCAATAAAGCCTCTTGTATTTTACATCAAGAACCGACTTTTGTGGTTGATTGGGGTCGCCGTTGCCTTAACACTCCCTGGACAAGGAGGTTCAGTGAGTTGCAGGTAAAAACCTTTCACTACCTCAATCTCATGCCACCTTCTGGCCCTGAAAGAGTCTTTTTTTTTAAAAATGGTTTTTGCCATAGGGAGCATGTAGTCACAGTAGAGAGACAGAGACAGTGGGAGGGAAAGTAAGAAATCACCCTCGAGCTGGGATGGACACACCACAATCATTTCTCTATTTTCCTCCTGGGATTTTAGGCACAAACACACATGTGTCTGGCTTGACTTTTTAGCTGCCAAGTTCAGGACTTGAACCATGGACAGCCATGTGGGAATCTAGCACTTTAACCACCATACTACCTGCCAGCCCCTGAGATAGTCATTTTTTTTCACATAAGGAATTTGAAAGAAAAACAAAGGAAAGCATGAAAATGAGTTTGGAAAAGTCTTAATGATTGACTTGTTATGAAAGACTATTTCTCACTCACAGGTGAAATGTTACCTTTTTATTAATTTTACAGGGAGAAGGTATTAATACTTTATAATCTCATAGATAGCAATTATGATTTCATCTTAGGTGGTTTATGCTTCTCATATTATAAAAAAATGCAGAGTAGATATTGCTATCTTCGGTTTAGCTCCCAATGACTTCAACAAAGATCCAGGATCTTTTTATCTTTTAGCTCAATTTATTTTATTTTGTTGTCTTTTGTCCTTAGAATTGCTGCCTAATGGCTACAAGATAGCTTCTGAAGGTTCAGAAGGATGCCTCATTAGGTCAGGAAGCTGAAGGTAAGGGGCTATGCTTCTTGTGCCTGTCCCCTTTTATTAGGAAAGTAAAATGCCTGAAGCTCACCAGGATTTTCTTGTCCATCTCAGAGCCAGGATTAGGTCACGTGACCATCTCACTGCAAGGGAGGATGGGAAATCAATGACAAAACTGTCCTTACTGAAATCTGAGAACACTCTATCAGCCAGTTCTCAAACATTCAGTTCCTGTGGTAGTTCATGATCTGAAAGCAAATGCAGGCAAGTTTCTTGAGAATTTCTTCAATTGTTGTTGTCAGGTAACATCATCTTTCTTAGCTATTCTTTTATTTTCAGTGACTCATGCTGAACAGTACACCGATTTCATGTTGCAACTTAATCCTTTGCATGGTTGTTCTAATGGCCCATTATTTTTGTGGTCATGAGCACAGTCTGGAAATTTAGAACAATGAAGTCATTTTGAAATTTAAAACATTTCTGGTAAAGCGTCAGGAAGTATTTTAAGGTTAATTTTTATTTTTAAAGTGCCTTGGGTTCCTTCCTGAAATAGTTTGAAAACTGCTATTGACAACAACAAGGAGAAATAGGTGAGGGGACCTGGGCTAACACTGGATCTGTGTGATTAGTTCTGACTTAGATGCTGGCAATGACAATTGAGGCAGTTATGGTTTTTCTCATTTGGAATTTATCTTTACTGGAATATTTATTTTCACATTCACTGGGTAAATACTTGCAAGAGACTTCAAGCTATGTGTAAAGGAATTGAAAGTCTAACTTTATCTCTCTCACACACTCACAAATATTATATTTTCTTCCTTTTAGATAAAATGAAGAAAAGGACAGAGACAAATTCTGTTAGATACATTCTGGGACAAACAATCCAAATATTATTGTCATCCTAAAGCTAATCTTTACCCAAACTTTAGGTAGATTGTTTTTTGTGGTCTCTGATTCATCGTCTGCTGTCTTTACAAATCTTTCTAGAGATGTCATGTGCATTTTTTGCTTTAAAAAATTTGTATACCATGCTCCTCTTTCCTACCTCAAGCAATGTTGCTTTGCTAAAATAACTTTTTTGAGTCCCATATTTATTTACTTATTTTTGCCAGTTATAGGAGCATGGGAAAATTGTTTAGCTCTTTTGAGACTGAGTTCATTCATCTCTAAAACAGAGTGTTATCTACGGCTCATCACAGTTGCAGGAACTAAAAACAGATCATTTACATGAGGCATCTTCTACAAAGTCTAGGAAATGATGGCTTCTCACTAAATGTAATTTATTCTCTTTTCCTTCCTCTTCCCTCAATTAAAATATATTTTCAGGAAGAAACTGACATCTGTCATGTATATGTAAGGGAGAATATATTGTATAAAAAATTCCTAGGGTATTTTGTAGAAATTGACTTAAAGTAATAACAGTGCTATTAGCAGACAGTTACAATGCTTGCTATGTACTTCACTATGAGAATTGCTGGTTAGATGGCTTATCCTTTTTATGGAAACTTAACAGCAGTGAGTGGGGAAAGGCATGTGGTTCATAAGACAACCCATCAGTTAGTCCATGCTGGCAGCATTCTGCTCTGTATACAAGTAGACCCACTGGAAGTCACATTTAGTGATGTGTTTGTGCATGCAGCAGTTAATGACCATCTAAGATGACGTGTCATCTATCCCAGCTGTTTCAGGGCAAGATGAATCATGAACGTCAGGATCTACATATGTGTCTAAAGATGCATGTTCTGGGCAAAAAATTAGGCTTGACTTTGCATGAAAATTGTTATAAAGAAATAACTGTAATTAGGAGAATGAAAAATATGGCCTTCAGCCATTTGGTGTCCTGGAAAAATACATCAACACGGCTTGCTTCTTATTGGTGGATGTTAGATTATCCGTGCAAGGGAGGTCTGAACTATTTTAGAAATATTTCCCAAAGACATTCCTGTTGGTACAGTGCTCAGAAGTTCCCCAAGATCATTTTTCTGGAGACACAGAAGTGCCTGTTCTTTATTCAAGCACCTTTAGCGAGAAGACAGATAAAGAGTGTAGATTTTGCTCTGTCATCTTCTTGAGGGCATACCTTATTCACAAAACAGGATTTAGTTAACATAATCCCATTTAAATTGGCATTGAGCAAACCAAATCAAATATTTATTCTACAAGGATGGGCTAGCAGTGTTAGAGAGGTTTACCTTGTATAACTTTAAAGAAGTTTATTGACTTGCTAATGGAATAATATTATCTCTGATTAACACGTTAAGAAACTGCTGTCAGATTTCTGGTAAATATTTAACAACAGTTGTGAATCAGAAAACAGAAATGGAACAAAATTGTGCCCTTACCCCAAATGTCACATTTTTCATTTGGCTCCAAGTCTCTATTAAGAAATGATTCAAAATAAGATTTTTGTCCCATGAAGTTGGCTCCTTTGTTACTCTCTATCCTTCTGGTTTCTTGGAAAGTGGCACAGCCTCTAAGGACTCTCAGAGAAATTTACTCCATTTTGCTGACTCACGTGTAAAGGTATGGTGAATACTCAGTTCTTACTGAGAATGCCCTAAATAATACTTTGGTTCTGACTTGGATTAATTAAGAAAATATCTTTTTGCTTCTTTCTTTCTCTGTAAGTGTGATCTTAGTCTGTTTTTGAATTGCTGACTGAAATATTGAAGACTAGGGAATTTATAAAGAAAATAGAGATTTATTTGCAAAGCTCATGATTCTGGCAGCTGGAATATCCAAAGGTATTACAAAGTGGTAGAAGGCAGAACTTTCAGCAGAGCATAGTCTGAATCCATGAGTTTCTCTCTTGCCCTCTAGTCATGGTCTCAGCCCTACTGCATATTAACCCAGGAGATCTCAATCGTAGGACCAGTTTACTGACCTTATCACACTCAAAGCCCCCATTCTGGGATACCACAAAAAATGACATTTTAACTTAATACCTTTATGATACACTCAAGTTCCAACAAATGAGTTTGGGGAAGGACATCCAAATTATATATACACACACACACACGTGTGTGTGTGTTTGTGAATGTATGTATTTAAAAAATATTTCCAACTTTTATAACTTCCTGAACTCATGCCTGTGTTGTATTGAAATTTCTTTTGGGGTCAATTCTACCTGATTAGTTTCAGCTCTTTAATAGCCCGGAAGTTGTGATAGTTGATATCACAGGGATCCACAATATTGGCATATGACTTCAAACAAGATCAAGGCTAATTTCCAGAGGTGTTCCAAGTATGTTTTGTAACTTCTAGTAAATATTACTGTTCATGATTCATTAACTGTGTCTATACCACATAAAATGAAGTGAAGATTTGAAACTTGTTATTCATTTGTTATCTCCCTGGACTGAAAGAATCCATTAACAGATAGCTGATTGATTGAGAGATTTCATGACATTTTTGCTTTATAGACAGTCCTAGTGGATAGATGCCAAATGTGTTGTTCTATTCTTATGTAAAATTCTTAAGATGACTTTTGGCCAGTCTAAACATTGCCTAGTAGTTGTTTATCATGCTTGATTTAATATTCCCTCTGAAGCATGTGTACTACTAATTTCTACTTGAGAATTTCCAACAGAGCAAACATTTACACAAAGAGGGTGATTCTCTTCGAGTTGCAGAGATGGATCTAGCCAGTCGTACCAAAATAGATATGACCATGTCTAGGTTCCTAAGAGTTTAATCATGTTTAATCACTGTACAAGTTCTGCCAGGAGGATGGTCTCTCTCTCTACAGCTATGCAATATGTCTCATAGACTTTCCAGTGAAACTATTCATGTGACTACAAGAGAGTGACTACTTTGTGTTTTTCCCCCAACTCCATTTACTAGTTATTAGTAAAAAATCATATTTAGCACATTTGAAAACATTAAGAATATTCAAAGGAAAGGAAAAAAGAAGTTAAGATAAAGAAAAGTTATATAGCAGGAACAAATATTCAAAGTATAATAGCAGGGAAGACAACTATAAATACTGGAGAGAGCATAGGAGACAGGAGTGATAGGGAGCGGAAGGGAGTGGATCAGGGAAAAAACCAACAAACAAAATTTGTATGTCATTGTTGCTTCCAGCATGAGTACTTGCCAATGCTGGACACAATTCTATACTCTCTCTCAGTGCCTTTGGCCTTGCACAGTGTAAAATATCCTGATTTATTCTTTCACCAGCTCTGATATCATTAGTATACTCTAATGACAAGGAGGAGGCTTATAAATAAGAGTCACAAAGGCACATTTGAGCCCCAGCCTTCACTTGTGTAACTTTCAGCTATTCATATGAATTAAGCAAACCTCAGAGTCATGATTTGTAATGGGAATAAAAACCTCTCCTATATTTAAAACGATCAGCATGCTCAGTTGTTTTTATCTAACTTTTTCCTCCTAGAATTACCATTTAATACATGAGGAAAATATTTAAAGGAAATGGAAGCAGCAAAGAGAAAACAGGGCCGGCAGGTGGTATGGCAGTTCAGATGGCTGGATCCCACATGGCTGACTTTGCAGTTAGAGTCCTGGATCCAGCAGCTTGAAAATCACACCAGGGTTGTGTACATGTGTGCCCAATATCCTAAGAAAAGAGTGGAGGAGAAGGGATTACAACACGGCCATCCCCCTTGGGAGGTGCCTTCTTTCTTTCCCTCTCTCTGTCTCTGGTGAGTGCAAATGCCCTATACCAAAAAAAAAAAAAAAAAAAAAGAAGTAAGTTTGAAAAATTATAAGAGAAAGTGAGAGCTCAAATAGCATAGACAACTTATGAACCAAGGTGGAATGAATTGCCTGGGAAAGGCTTTTATACAGGCGTGGTATAGTACCTCACAACTGGAGTGCAGTCTCCAGAGCCTGCTTATGTTTGATTGACAGTAAATGGTTCATTCTGATTTTATTTGCCAGACCTACCTATAGCAGAACAGGGTCCGTCTTTTGTGTGTGAGTAAGAGCACGCTTGTACTCTTGGTGAGAGCACAGGTGGTTTCTGTGGAGTTGTCCTGTGCTGAGTTAGGAGACATGTATGTAGGACCCTGGTGCCTGAATCAGTGTGGAGAAGGATGCTGCAGGGTCCTCTTAGCCATGGTCTTTTCTTTCTGCCGTGACTATAAAACAGAGAAACAGGAAGCCAGATAAGCAGGTTCTTGGATGGGGAAGAGATCAACAAAGGTCTCCTTTTCGGTTCCTAAAGACTTCCCTCCCCAATGTTGGTCTCTTTTTATGCACCATAATGCTTCTTGATTTATTTTGAAAACATGAACATAGTCTACTTAGCAGTCACAGAGAGCAATGTGTCAAGTCGAGGTAGTCAGTTAAAGTGAAGTGAGCGTGAAAGATGCACAGAGGTGGGGAAAACTTAATCTCTAAGGTCAGAGACTCAGTAAGTGCCTGTTTAACAAGCAAGGCTGAATTACAGTCCAACAAGAATATGTTTATGCTTTGTTGCCTTTTGGGGTGGGTATTTTTAGGTACAGCCTGTAGCTAGAAAGTTAGATTCCTACCAGTGCAATATGCCTCTGATCAAGAAATGCTGAGATTGCTTCACCTTGGCAGGCCAGAGGGAGGTGAAGACTATGGGGTCGAAGAGAGTCTGGATGAAGAAGAGAAATGCTTAAAGTGTGTAATCCTTAGAGGAAATTGAAAGTAGATTTTGTCCAGATGGTTCCTGGAATGTTGACTTATTCCAACAGTGATAGCCGCCAACTGCAGGAGTGACATTCTTTAGTATATGAGCTGGACTGTCAGCTGGTGCATGACTGGAGGGATTTGGCTTAGGTAGAAGCAGGTGTAGTTCTTCTGGAGGAACAGGAGGGAAGGCAGAGTATATGGTACAGGTGCAGGTGGGTGGATAGACTGGTGGATGAAGAATGAGGAAGTTTTCTTACTGTTTCTGTGTCTATGGCAAAGGAGACAAAGGTATCGACTGATAGAAGGGCAGGAGGGGGAAGTATGGAAGTATGACTAGTGGGATGAGTGGAAGTATGAAGTATGACTGAGGGTGAGTGGCAGAAGAAACAAGGTCACTGAGTTGAGGTGGTCAAGGACCTGAAATGCTGAGAAAACAAAAGGGTTTTCTACAGGGATATGAAGATGGCAAGAACTGTGAGAGGCCAGCTGACATTGTGTGCATTGGTTGATACTGCTAGGTAGCTAAGGTTATATGGGAGGCCTTTCTGTTCCAGTCTTCCCTAAAAGCTAGGTGTGATGACACCTAGAATCTCCAGCTACTTGGGAGGCTGAAGTGGCTGAGGAAGATCGCGACATAGCAAGACCAGTCAAAAATAAGTGAGACTTTGTCGAAACAGAAGCTCAATAACTACAAAAACACCAATAATAGAATGAGCCATGAGCTAAGCTCTGCAAGAAATCTGCTGTCAAACGGACCTCAGTAGGTGATTGTATCAAGGAGGGGTATTGGGTACTATATCAGGTGTAACTTTCAAATTGTTGGGAGTTTTCTTTAAGATGGAAAGAACAGGACCAGCAGATGGCATAGTGGTTGAGGTGCTGGAATTGCACATGGTTGACCGCAGTTTGACTCCTGGACCTGGAAACTTGAAACTCACTCTGGGAACATGTGTATATGTAAGAATGGAGGAGAGGGGATTACAAGATGGCCATCCCTCACTGAGGGGTAATTTCTCACTTTCAGTCTCTGTCTTTCTCTCTGTCTCTGGCAAGCACATGTGCCCTATAGCAAAAACTTCAAAAAAAAAAAAAATGGAAAGAATAATTGTCTGGAAGCAGCATTAAGTAGCAAGAAAGACAACTATCACTCCTGGTTGCCTGGTATCACACATAAAATGGCAGCCTGAGAAGAAGGCTATAAACGAAGCAGTGTGCTCAGAGGAATGAATACAGGCTTCAGATACAGCAAGAAGGTCATAGGAACATTCATGTAGGACATCGAAGAGACCTGTGGATTTTACTATGATATATTGGGAGTATCAGAGACCAAAGATCAGAGTTGGCTAGGAAAGTGGGTCAAATCAAGGGATAAATAAGCCATGTGAAAATGACCATGTAGTTGTTGAGAACTGAGGATCTTGAGAGAATAAAAATGTCTTATGAGCACAACTTTTTTTTTTTTTGAGGGGAGCAGTGATAGAGGTATGCAATTTAGCTTTATCATCATTATCATTGGACTAGATCAGTGCTTGTCATCGGATACAGCCTATATCACATTTTTTCTATTAGTGTGTAGTCTATTTCTTGAACTATATTTATTAATATTGATGATCTCAGAGATCATCTCAGTTTTAGTTTGCTCTTATGTGGAAATTTTTTTTGGTCAGTTTTATTGGGGTATAATTTATACATAATATTCATTCTTTTTAAGTATATCATTTTATGCATTTTGATAAATGCATATACCACCAAATCAAGATATAGAACAGTTCCAAATGTCCACCAAATTCATTTGTGCTTGTAGTCAACACCTTGTTCCTATCTTTAGCATCTGGTAAGAACTTATCTGTCTTTTGTCCCATAATTTTGCCTTTTCTAGAATGACTATTAAATAGAAT